TAAGAGAGATCGAAAACTTTGAGGGGTTCTGTAGGCTGTCTAAAAATGCCAACAAATGGGATAGTTGAGTCTCCAGATTGCGAAGCACATGAATAGATGGAAGTTAACAATCTGACACGACTACCAGAAAGGCTTACAATTCGAAGATTTTCCGGCCATGAAGTTTAATGCAAAAGATTACAAAACGACAGTCTTAGCAATACCTGACAGAAGGATTACAAATCGACGATCTCTTCAAACCAAGACGTGGAAGTCGGCATCCCGCGTACCATTCATCAAGACACTACACCGATTCAATCACGGCTACGGCGGCCGCTTCAAGCAGGCTATAAAACACGAATGCAGCTTCTTATGTGAGATGAATTGATCTTGATGGCTGCGACAACAAATGACTATATATTATATTAGCAACCATTAGAGGTGCTGATGAGCAGTGTAATGATATCGACACACTCAGTGAGATGCATGACCTGCTATCTGATATGAGCGGTTATTAGAGATGCCTCAATTGTCACAAATGGCCTGAAAATAAGACGCTTCTTTACTGATACTTTTGGTGTCAATCCATATATAAAGAAGAGAAATCTAAATACTGCAACAACGCAACAGCTCGAAGCAGCTCCGAATCGCTGCCAGTACAGCTTCTAAGACGCAGCTCCAATCGCCTGCCAAGCCAGCCTCGATACGCAGCTCCAAATCGGCTGCCAAGTAGCAGCTCGAACAGCAGTGCCAATCGCTGCCCAAGTACAGGGCCCGAACGGCAGCTCCAATCGCTGGCCAAAGCACAGCTCGAACGCAGCTGTATCAAACCCATGCTCGCCCAACGGCAGCTTACAACGCGTTCCAAACGCAGGCTCATCCATCACTTGCCAAAACGCGAGCTCAATCACCGCGCAAAACGGGCAGGTCTAAGGTTGCTGACTTCATTCAAGCACTGCGATCGTAAAGCAACTTCGAAGCTGTTGCTTCCACGCCACGATTTGAGGAGTGGGCTTGTAGTGGGTTTGTTACCACCGACTATGGGGTATAAACCACCGCCATTTAGGCGCGGATTATGGGGGCATTTAGCACCGCCCTAATCCCCCTATAAAATTAGCAACAAACTCAACAAAGTTAAGGATCGGATTTTTGATTAATCAGATCGAGGGGTGGATTTTCGGGGAGAGGATCTTCCGGGTGAGATTGGATTTTGGAGAGATCTTTCAGATCAGGTCTTCCAGAATCAAAAAAAGGAGATTGGACATCTTACACGTCTGCGGAATCAACAGATCGGAGGAACTCTAAGCAGTCGATATTTGGCTTATTAAGCCGAATTATTTTTCGGTTCCAAACAGACTCTATGCATCTAGAGTTTGTTACTTGTTCTGAATCAGCAAACTCGTCACAGAGTTATCGAAACCAGAGCAAGACAGTTGTTCATGTGAGGATAGATATTCGGATCGTCAACGAGAAGCAAACTCGACGGCGAACAATTCGACGGGAGCATCTGCATCGCTAACAAGAAGAACCCAAGAATTAAAGCAAGGAGAGCAATCCCGATCAATTCTCTTTCTTTTGTAATCAGGAAATCCCAATTGTAACTGAATTAAAGAAATACAAATCAATTTTTCTTTTATTTCTTTACTGCAAATTTTTCCACAAACAATAGCCTTTTTTTATGACAGACTACTTTTACACAACAAAATTAAAAATTACAACTGCTTGGGAAACAAACACAGGATCGTTGTTTTGGAATCACTGCTTGCGTGAGATCTTTGCCTGTGGCCGGGGTGCGTTAGCACCGTGGACGGCACCAAAATTCACAATTCTGATTGTAATCGTGAGGGGTTTATGATTCCGACTTCGTTTATCGAAGTGAAGAACATTGAACGATATCTTATGCAGGTAAGGATAGTCGTTCTTCTTGAAATCCAAGTCAAAGCCTGAATATCAAGGATTACAAGAACTCGGAGTACCTCTGCCCTCTCTGCTCTGAAATCAGCCTATGGATGCTCTCTGCTTCTGCCCCTGGAATGCTCTCTGACAGGCCCCTGGATGCTCTCTAGATCAGGCCCCGTCTTCAAAATGGCGCTTCGGGGGGTAATTTAATAGCCCCTATGAATCAGTTGGCGGAAAGCAGGCTTCGCGAGACAGCAATTTGCCTTGTCTCGGCTGTCGGAGACAGTGTTTTGCTGTCTCGGCGGGCGAGACAGTGTTGCTGTCTCGGCCCGGCGAGACAAGTAAACCTGTCTGCGGAAACAGGTAAACCGTCAGGCAGTTTTCATTTTACAACTGGCCTTCCTCGACGTTTTCAAACTTTGTTATTTGGCAGTTAATCCACGTGATTTTCGCCCACGACGTTTTCCCGACGTTCTTGAACATTAGTGGCCACGTGTAGGGCAGTTACAAGGCGGTTTTGAACCGGGCATCTGATAAGCTGTCCTCACGCGCTGAGACAGGTAAATTTCTGTCTTCGCACGGCGAGAACAGTAAAGCTGTCTCGCGTGGGCGAGAACACGTAAAAGTCCTGTCTCGCCCCGCGAGACAGTAAAGACTGTCTCGCGTGGGCGAGAGCAGTAAAGAGAACTGTCTCGCTCGCGAGACAGTAAAAGAGCTGTCTGCCCCGAGACAGTAAAAGACTGTCTTCAGGCGTGGCGAGACATGTAAAAAAAGTCTGTCTCGCCCAGCGAGAGCAGTAAAGACTGTCTCGCACGGCGAGACAAGTCCAAGTCTGTCTCGCGTGCGAAGAAGTTAAAGAGCCTGTCTCGCGGTGCGAGACAGTCTATACTTGTGTTCTTTTTGAGGCATTTTGGATGACTTCCTTTGAGGCTGTGTTTTGGATATCTCTCAGCATTTGTCACATGGCCGTGAGCATGGTAATCGAGATAGTACATGCACGACCCCGGGAAGGGTCATTGGGAGGTCGTGAAGTGGATTCTACGGTATGTTCGAGGCACCATAGATGTTGGTTTAGTATTCCAGAAGGATGAGAAGGATGTGCATGATTGTATTGGATATGTGGATTCAGATTATGCTGGAGATCTTGACAAACCCCGGTCTACTTCAGGTTATGCTTTTACATTGGCAGGTGCACCTGTATGTTGGCGATGCACGCTTCAGTCCACAGTGGCTCTCTCTACTACAGAGACAGAGTATACAGCAGTTATTGAAGCTATTAAGGAGGCTTTATGGTTGCGTAGATTATTGGAGGACTTGGGGATCGCTCATGAGACTATTCGGGTATATTGTGATAGCATGTCGGTTATCTATTTAGCGAAGAACCAGGTTTATCATGCGTGCACGAAGCACATAGACGTCAGATTTCACTTTGTACGTGACGTGTTGGATGATGGAGACGTCATACTAGAGAAGGTCCACACTAATGACAACCCTGCAGATATGTTGATCAAAGTTATTTCAGGAGTAAAATATGGTCATTGTTTGAAGCTTTTGAACATCCTTCAGTGCTGAGGCCTTTGGAGGCCATTTGGGTGAACTACGTTCGGCTTGATTCATTGGACAAGAAGATACGTAGGCAGTCTTTCAGATACAGCCGGTTTGATCAGTTGATTCAGATGGGTCGCGTTTCAGCTCTAGATTGGTTCCCTGACTTGTTGAGGGACTATTGGATGATTTGGTGTCGGCTCAGTTTTGATGGAAACATTCGCTGAGGTGGAGAATTGAAGAATTACAGGAAAACAACAAAGAAATCAGCCAGACAGACTGGCGGTCGACCGCGAACGTGCACGAAGACTACCAGGATTCAGAGCTGCTGGCAGTCGACCGCGGATGACTGGTTAATGCAAGGACGAATTTGAGTAGTCTTTGAGAGAGAATTGTTGCATCCAATTGTGGGAGAGTTGTGAGAGATCAAGAGCTTTGTTTTAGGGTTTGATCTGAGAGATTTGATCTGAGAGATTTGTAACTCTACTTGTATTCTCTGATTTCTAATAGTAAGAACTCCCCCCCTCCTTGCCCCGTGGACGTAGGCAACTTGCCGAACCACGTAAAATTCTTTGTTCTTGCTGTTGTTGTGTTTACATATTAGTTGTGGTTAGTTCGAGTTATTGTTCGTGTTGCTAAGAAAGCTTCTGCCGCGCGCAACAATTAGTTTCATGTTAACTCATGAAACTCATCCGATTTCGTAATCTAATTGAATATAGAGAAAGCAGGGCCACTTAAAAGTTTTTAAGTTTTAAAACCTACAGCAATTAACTGTATCATCTATAAATTGAAGGATAAATTACAAAATACCCCTTCATATGCCCTTTGTTTTTCAAGACTCCCTCACTTATTAATAACCTCAACAAAAAAGATTCTTACGTGTAATCATTAATGAAATCATTAGCTGATAACGAACTAATATTTTTACGACCTTTAGACAGACGTTTGCACTTGAATTTTGGACATTTTTAGTTTCTTATCGTCCAAAATTCCGAAGGTAATAGAGAAAATAAAGGAATCAGGGAGCTTCGGATCCTTTCTATTTCCTATTTTCCCCTTTAGACTCAAACCAAATTATGTCCAATTGCGAAAACTTTCACCTAAAGAGTTTGAAAAAAAATCATCAGATCGTGAAGCGCAAGCGTTTTATCCAAGTGCAGATGTATAATTAGATGTCTAAAGATCAAAACTCTGCTAGAAATAGAATGAGCAACTATATTATTGTGTCCTTTAATTAATGATCATTTGGATGAATGTTTTTGTTTTTGTTGAAATATAGGTGAAGAGAATATTCTAAAAAAGTCATGTGTGCAAAGAAAATGCATATAAAACAAAACGAGAAAAAGCAAAACTCTACTCTCGCATATAAACTACTCTCACCTCGAGTGACCACACCCCTCCCTAAACCTGCTCCAGCGGAGCACCAGAACGCCCACCTCCTCCCTCCTTTAAATGCGACCCGCTTCGCCTGCCCAATCTCAGAGGCTCAACAATGGCGGGCCTGAGCGTTCTCCTCGAATCCCAAACCCCATCCTTCCCAAAATGCCCCCAGATCATCAGCAAAACGAACTTAAGATCCCCACCTTCTTCTTCATCCTCTTCCCATTTTGCCCCCACGAGCCCTTTTCTGGAATACTGCTACCTCTGCCGCCAGCGCCTCCTTGAAGGCAGAGACATCTACATGTACAGGTAAAAAAAAAAAAAAAACAAACCAAATATTTTATTCAGTTAGAAATAGCCGGAACAACGAATGCATTTACAACCTCACGCAGTTTCAACTCTTGCTGTTAGAACACTTTCCACTCGAGCGGGCAAGAATTCTTTTATTTTCAAGTCTTTTTTATTTCGCGATAAGCTTTCGCAAATCTAATTAAATAATTATGCATATGAAAATTTGGATGTAGTTCGGACAACACGAGCTTTTAAGCTCCTCCTGCTATATCCCGCACAGGGGCATTTTGGGAACGGTTTAAAACGATTATCTCCCTTTAAAGAGTTTTCTTAATTTTGTGCAGAGGGGACAGGGCGTTTTGTAGCGAGGAGTGCAGGTGCAAGCAGATATTTTTGGATGAGGAGAGCGTGAGGAGGGCGCTGCCGCTTGGCCGGCGGCCTCCCGCGCCAGCTCGCGCTCCCGCCGCCGGAAAAAGCCGGCGGTGGCGAGGTTTGCTTAGCGTGGGGGTGGGGTGGAGTGTAAGTGTTGACGTTGCGGTGACCGAAAACGCCTTGGATTGATTGTTTTGTTTCGGAAGAGTTGTTTTTTTTTTGTTTTTTTTTTGGTGAGGTGAACGTGCGGGGATTTTTTGGTTTGTAGGGGTTAGTTTGGAGTTTGTATTAATGTTTTTTAAAAAAAAAAATATAATATATGGGTATAGATATTGGAAGGGTTTACTCTATATTTATGTTTTTATTGGTTGTGCAATTTAAATTTTGCAAGAAAGATGGACTTATCTGATAAATGCAACATAATAGTGAAGTGTGTACGGCATAAAAATCCTAAAGAGAGAGACGCGTGACGTTCGAAACGGATGGCTAGAGTTCTGAAATATTCATTTTTATATAGTAATAAAGGTTATTATTAATAACATAAATAAAATCCCCCTTATACTGTAGCAGGAGAGGGGGTGTGGTGGAGAGTGTGCCTGTAGTGTTATTTCTGAAAAATAGTAAAAGTTAATTAATATTCATTTTCTCCATGTTTTCTTTGAATATTTAATTTTTTCCATTGTGATTAAAAGTAGATTAATCATTTAAACCAAAAAATGAAGTGAATGTTCTTATTTGTATGATGAATTGTTACGAGCTATTATGGTACTTGGGTATAGTCCATAGGTTGGTGTATGTATTAATGCGTAAGATTATAGTATTTTGATAACAAGGCCTTTCTTTTTTCAAAGACGCTTCTGCACATAAATAGGCTTTCTCCATAAGTTGAGACTTTGTATATGAAGACATTATCTCCTCAAACTCCCTGATTTGCACAAAAAATATTTACATTGATAGTCCTGTATGTTATTTGAATCCATTCCTCAAGAAGCACAAAATAAAACGAAAACATAACTAATTAATAAGAAAATTCTTTTAATTAAATCTTCTTATCTTAGTTAATTAAATATTGTCAAAAGGCTAGACGCATATTTTGTTTGGTTTAAATATTAAAATTTTAGGATTTGTAATTTCATAGAGAATTTTAAATCCATAAGATTTTGTACATACTTTGGAATTTCTAATATTTTGTTTAGTTCATCATTATAATAGAAAAACAAACCCTAAAATTTGTAATATCTTGTTTGGTTCGAATCCAAATTATATGATAACAAATTCTAAACAAGAAGAAAAAAATAAAAATACTTACCCTGATGAGGTTACATTCCACAAGAAAATAAAATATAAGGGTATAGAAAGAGAGGTAAGCGTAACCATTTATAGGATTTGTCAAATACTCTCTAATTGAGAGGATTTGACAAATTCTAAAAATTGAATGTTTTCTGTATTTTTTGGGATTCAATATCCCAAAAAATATTGAAACAAACACCAAATATGAAACTCCAAAATCCAAAAAACACACTTTTAAATTCCAAAATTTGTAATTCCCGTTAAACACTAAAATTTTGGTTCAACCAAACATTCGCTTCGTCACTAACAACACTAGGGGGCTGTTTGGATCAGTTTTTTGGATGGGTAAAAGGGGGGAAAGTTACCAAAAAGCTAACATTTTTAACAACTTCCTTCCTTTTTACATATCCAAAAACCGGAACCAAACAGGGCCTAGATAGAGAGTACCAAACTCTATAAATATGGGAGATGATGATGAGAGAGAGAGAGAGAGAGGTGGGGACAAGAATACAAGGATAAAAAGTTCATGTACACGACATTTTCTTCATCACTTTTCCTCTCAAAATCGCCAATGGTTTTGGAGCTCCCCTTGGAATATTGACAAGAATCACCCCTCAAATGAAACACGCATGACTCTCTCTCTCTCTCTCTCTCTTCCTTGGCGTAGCTGTCCTCTTCCATCTTAAAACCACCGTCTGTTTCCTATCACAATCTTTGGACGTAGTAGCCGAGTGTTTTGCTCCTCAATAACTTTTGTCGTGACCTCTCACTATCAAATGCTGGTATGAGGAAGAGAATAACTGCACCAGCCAGTGCGAGGATGGACGCTTTTGTAGCCTAAACGAGAAACTTCAGTCCCTTTCATGGAGGCCCACCGCAAAGATGTTGGGCCCCTTTTTCAGAGTGGAAACTGTCTTGTGGGGTCCTTGACTTAAATATGCGCTTAAAAATTCTGTAAGCTTTAATTTGCTACATGGACCTAAAATATGAGATCAATAGGGGGACAAGTAATGTGTCCCCCCTCCTATTAGATAATGAGTTGACTATTATTAATGATGACCAACTCATTATCCAATAGGAGGATGACACAGACACCTCACTTGTCCCCCCTATTGGTCACATATTTTGGGTCATTGAGGAATTTTTCAAATTCTGTATACTTCTGGACTTCTGATTTGTAAATTTCATTTAACACGTAAGAAAAAGAAAAAGAGCATGATACCACTAACTTATTTAACTGAAGGAACTACCCAGATAGAGCATGTTATTTCTTGACGTCTAATTTTATTATATTACATGACAGCTCATATCGAGTATCCTCAACACACACCCCACATACACACACAACACAAATGCATAGGTATGTATATATACACATACATACATTTGTGCGGAATAATTTTAATATTCGATACAACTATCTTGATAAAATATGTCATCAAGTTGGACCATCAACTCTATTCATTTTGATCTACATGTCTTAAATAACATGTAAACAAAATATCAGGCATGTAAGATATGTTTCGATCATACATCAAAGTGGTCGCGAAATTAATTCTTTATCAAAATTGCAATCACAAGAGAGGATGTAAAATATGAGCTACAAGTCCTTCGACATCGCGATTTCCAAATTTATAGATGTTTTAAAATATAAATAGATCATAACGAACGAAAAGAATAATTCAATGAAAATAATCTACCTCATCACGGAGCTCCGTTGTCTGAATTCCGCTAGGTTTATTTGCATATATACCCCCTAAATCACATGTATTTGCAAAAATACCCTCTAAATCATCAATTTTGGGAGAAATTACCCTCAAAACCATTAATCATCAACTTTGATAAGCTACTTTGTAATTGCGGTGTAAAAATTATCAACAAAATAGTCAAAATTTTAGCACCTTGCTTGTTGACGGTTTGTTGATTTTAGGGGTATATTCCCACAAAGTTGATGATTCGAGAGGCAGTTTTCCAAATACTAAGATGTGGGGGGTAGTTCTGTAAATGCCCATGATATAAGGGTGTAGGCAAATAACCCATTCTACGCTGGATACCTGTAGTTTTCATCCCCTTAAATGATGTAGCATACACGGCAATTGCTTGAAACAGAACATTTTCAAGCATAAAGACACTGCTAAAAGTCACCAAACTTATTGGAAGGATATTTGACATTGTCAATTTCACCAAAAGCTTCGCCCCGGTGGAAAATGAAAGAAAGGATCATCCCTCTCGTTAACTCGGTACAATTCCAACACTTGTTATGTATACTCTCTGCTCAGAAAACTTAAAAAAGAAAAAAAAAAAAACTGACCATGTTTTCACAAATAGCTGTCAGCTACACGAAAATTCTTCATCTTAAAAGAAATTAAACGGCAGCTAGACGAGGAATTATCGTCCATGGTCCTAATCAAGGAAGAGCCCAGGTGAAGAGCTGACATGTGCATGATAAGTTCTCACAGAGCTATGCAGTATTTGTCAAACTCAATATATGTGGTTATGGCCACACATTTATATTAACGTTGACTTTTCTTAATCAGGTTACAGGTATAAGAGGAGGAGGTTTAGGGAAAGCTTTTGGATAAGATAAGACAAATAGGACTTATACAATCTGTTTGCGTTGTTCTTATCCTTTCACTGTTTATCCCAAGGTAGGATAAACAAGAGGGATTTGTTATAAGGGCGCTTCTATAGGGACCTCAGATAGGGGACCTGGGGGGATAGGTGTGCTGCCCCCCCTCCGGTTGGATGATGTACTGTTGATTAATCTTGTTATAAAGCCAACAATCAGCGAAAAACATAGTCAGATCTCTGCCAATATGAATTCTAAAGGATATTTTTGTTGATAGGCACGTTGGCCTTCACTAGTATCTAATTTGGTATAGTGCATTCTACTCATTCATTTGCCTCCATACTCAAAACGCAATGAGATACCCAAAGCATTACGTTCCTTAGCAGGTTGTCTTTAATTTCAAGTGTTAATTGCGGACAGGCCCTCAGGACTATTGTCCAATTGTGGATAGACCTCCTTTAGTTCTATTATTGCAGATAGACCTCTTGAGTGAAAATTCTGTAACCTTTACCCTCTCAGGAGGTCTATTTGAGAAAAAGAATTTCTTTCTCTCGTAGGGTAAAAGAGTCAAACAAATTCACTCAGGAGGTACACGAGGCCGGAGTCTATTCGCAATTAACTCCTAATTTCAATTCTTAGCATTCATGATAGGTCCAATGGTTAGCATGGACTGAACGTACTCTCCCTTAATGGCATTAAGGAAACAGCAGAACTGGTCTCTCAAAAAGTATGCTCAGAAAGCTATTCTTCCAATAACTAGGTAACTAAAGTGGAAAAAAAAAAAAATCTATCTTGAGCTAAATATTCTCTACCTCCATAGTGGATGCCTAATTCTTTGTTCCAATGTAGTGCTCAAGGGTATGAAACTTTTCTGAGTGCAGCCCACTTCTTCATCTCCAAATCTCTGATTCCAATCATCTCAATGGTGGAGCTAACTGCATAAGATAATTATGGTGGTGTTAACCAGTAGCTCACAAAGTAAAAAAAAAAAGTAACTTTATGGAAGTGATCATAACACCAAGCGAAAAAAAATTAGAAGATACAGAGTTTCTAAAGCAAATCAAGCATCTATTAAACTTTTAATCAGTCGCAAACTAGATAAAAAAAAAGTTAACTTCATGGAAGTAATCATAACATTGAGAATAATTAGAAGAGGGTAGAGTCTCTAAGGAAACAAATACGTAGCTTTCTTTTCACAAGCAAGCATCTACCAAAAGTAAGTCTTAGTCGCATACAAAACAGAGTGCATAACGTATCTTGTATAACACGAAACCGAGTAATATCAATAAAATAGGTAATCGCCCTTCGGGGAGCAAAATTCGATCCTAACACGGTATCATTAGAATGTCTAAGACTTGTGATCGACCTTCTCATCACAAATCACATCTCTTACCTACTCTCGTCGAATTCCTCTATTAACATGTATTTTGATATTATTTCCGTCATTAAGTACCGAGAAAAATAACCAATTTTTTGAAATTATTGTGCTAATATAATGGTAGAACCATAGTAATTAGAAAAGTAGAGTTTCTAAAGAAAATAAATAATGTAGCTTTAATTCTTTTTCACAAGCAAGCATCTATCAAAGTTAAGCCTGACTCATATATCCAAAATAAGAAAAAAAAAAAAAAACAGATGACGAGTAAATTGATGCAGTGCAAAAGGATCACATCAAGAGACCATAACATATCTTACATTACACGAAACCGAGTAGTATCGATAAGTTATGTATGACACCCTTTGGGAAGAAAATTCCTAAAATTTTATCAGTAGAATGTCTAAGGCTTGTGACCTCATCACAAATTACATCTCTTATCGACTCTCATCAAATTCCTTTAGTAATATTTATTTTGATATTATCTCAGTCAATAATTACCAGTGATAGATAGTAACAGGCAACATCATACTATACATGTGCACGTGCACACTAACTGACATGGATACATGTGATACAAGTAATGAGAACCAGGAGATATGTGCTCAGACTCTTTAATGAAAAATTAAAGATTATTAACAAGTATATGCGCAGAGACGAAAGAAATAAAAGAGAGGAAGAAAGGAAAAAAAGAACAGAAGAGAAGAAGCTATCACAGCTCACCATCCTTTCTCAAAAAAGAAGCCCCACCCCTGAATGGAAAAACATACGTAAATGATTTTGAAAAGGACACATTTAATCAACTTAGAAGATTATATCAGGCACTAATCATAAATCATGAAGACCTAGAGATGACAGAGACAAGAAGGCCATTAACATGAGCGAGGGTGTCACAAATGGTGTCGATATCTTCATTAGGCGCTTTCCTCCCTTCAATAGAAGACCAAAGGGAGGAAACTCGGCGTTTGTTTTTGGACTTTCTGAAGGCAAAAGATAAGAACCTGAGAAAAAAAAGAGAAGGCTTATGGAAAACAGAAGCTAGAATTAAGTTGTTGCACTTGCTTGGGCTTTATTGGTTAAGAGTAGTCTACAGTCTACACATCAGAAAGTGACATGAAACAGATTTTCTCCAGAGAGCAATGGTTGAATTTCCTCGAGGGGAAAAACGCAAAATAATCAACCGATATATGTGCAGGGATGAAGAAAGAGTCATTCGAGCTTTAAGGTAGAAGATGAAGGAAGCTGAAGCAGCATTATTGCGACTGTTCGACAGTTTTACTGCTTACAGGTTTTAATCATACGAGAAATCAACGCAATAGTTAAGAACTAATTACAGATGCTGGCTGTTCCCACTTCTCATTGAGCGCCCAAGAACTTTTCGAAAATCAGGATTAAAGAGGAAAACAGATTTGTACCACTCCGTATTCTCAATTACTTTTACCTCCTTGTTCAACTTCCTTCAATATTTTACCCTTGCATGTCTTCAGAACCCTTCTAATTAAGTTGAGAGCATAGTGTGATGAAATTAAAAGAACATTATGCAGCTGACATTGTCACAAATTTGAAAAAATTTGTACTTTCAAAGAAATTTCAGCGTCGTGAAAATTGATACTTCTAGTAGTATCACGGAAATGTTAATGGTGTAAGTACTTCTAGCGTGTTGCCAACTGAACGCAGATTTGTATTTTGCGACTGTATCAGTTTATGTTTCAATAGAATAGGTTTTATAATCATAGTCTGTAGCAATATAAAATAGTGGTAGATGCAGCAAAATTTGTTGTGCGCAGCGAAAATTTCGGCAGCACCTCCGGTGCGCAGAGTGCACAACAAGAGATTAGATCACAATGAAATTCTCGTTTCTCAAAGGAAACAAGAACCAAAAGCCAGATATTTCATCAAAGTGAGATATCAGCTTTTCCTCTCGTCAGCTCTAGGACTGCGCGTCGAGGGAACCTACAAGCTATTATAAATCACGGCAAGAACACAAATTTTACGTGGTTCGGCAAATTGCCTACGTCCGCAAGGAGGGAAATCTACTATTAGAGGGAGAGTACAATTGGTGTTTACAATCTCACAAATAAAACCTCTCACAAACCTCAGGCGTGCCTCACACAAATACTCTCTCAAAGCAGCCAAAACAAAACTCTTTTTTCTTCTGCAGCCATAAAAAACCCCGCAGCCAAAATCTCCTTTGCTTTCAAAATTAGCCGCTGCCAATCCCTGCGTTGCTCTTCGTAGCGCCCAAAAAAAAATCCGTTTCTTGCAACTACTTTTTCTCTCGCAGCCGTCACAAAAGCATCGCCGCACAAAACCCTTGCCCCCCCCCCCCACCTCTCAACGTCAAAACCCTATCTCACGTATATATATGTTGTGATTGTTTTTGGGTGGGCCGCATTGATTGGGTGGGCCGCCTAAAATCACACGCAACTCACAAAATTTAGCTACACCCATTTTTTTTATTAAAACCAGAGTTTAAATTCGCTTTAAAACAATCAGATGGGCTTCCGAAATATGGTGCTACTCTAATTTAGCGAAGCTTAAGAGAACAGTGGGCTGAAGAGGCCACATTGGTTTTGGTTTCAGCTTTAGTTTCGAATCAATGACCGACAAAATTCCTCGTCTTGTTTAAGTCAAGAATATTCTTATTTTCGTCTGAATAAAGAGATGTTTGTCTGTGGGTGTTTGGGTGGAGTGGGTGGGTGGGGCGTCAATTGAAGACCTTGGGTCGCAGCCAAAGATGATAGATTCTAGTCTTTTAAAACAACCGCATATCGTGAATTTGATGGAGCATCAAACGTGTCATGAGAACCAAACATATAGAAGTCAGACATTATTAAATTTTAATCGATAAATCAACGTTGAAAAGATTGGTATTGCAGATAATTCGACAAACACTGGAACGAAACCCCTGCTTCTGTGCGTTGCCTTGAGAAATCAACGGTTACTTTACTTTTTACCTCTACCTGATATCTATTGGTTGTGACTTGCAATCTAGTAGATGATTCGAAACCCACAGTTTTGATCGTTATTCAAATGTACATTTTATAGGTGATCATCAGAAAAATTGAAACTAAAAAGATTGGAACCGTGTAATCCACATAGTGAGCTAGCTAAAAAATATAAGACCTAAAAAATGCAACGTCTAAGCAAAATAAAGTAGTTAAACATAAAATTACAGAAAGCAAGAGGGACGTAAGGGGGGCTGAACGGCGCCTACGTACCACTTGTTTGTGTAAAAGAGCTTGAAGAATGCAGAAAGGTGTTTTTTTTATTGCACAGAAAAACGATTATCTACAGTTTGGGCATGAAATTTTGCAGAAAAATCTAAAATTATAAAGGATTGACGCCAGAAGCTACCAGCAAATTTTTGATGTAAGCCACCGATACATGTTTGGCAAACATATTATTTTGGCTTATAAGCCAGAAAAAAAAATCGGGGCATCCAACTCATTTTTGGTGGAGTTTCACTGGGTAAAATACCACTTTATCCCTTAGCATTTAAAAAAAAATCCAAGGCCTTCTCTATCCCCCAACTCTTTTTTGGTCATTTTGACAAAAGGATGGATTATAAGTCACTCATTTGCTAGACATTCTACTAATTTTGCTAAACAGTTTAGATCATAATTTACTTGACTTATAAGCTATTTATAGATTATATAAGTCAAGCTGGTTATAATCTAAAGTTGCCAAATATGCTCTTTCTTAGCTCCAAAGGCTGAGGGCAAGTTTGGCAGCGATACATTTACATAACAAAATGGATGAAAATAATAATGCGAAAATTAAGTACAGAGAGAGGCGCCCACTAATAATTTTTCAATTGAAGAGGAGAGAGGGATTATGTAATTAAGTGAGAAGCACAGGGTTCAAGTAAAATTCTCCTTTTCTCTAATTTAAGCTGTATTTTTATAAGTAAAATATACCAAGCGGAAACATCACGAGAATCGTCTCCTCTACAAAAATTGCGGCCAACCTGTTCGACAAAATGTCCGATCAGCAAACTCCGATGAGATCGCCATCGCCATCCCAAAATCAACATCAACAGAAGAGGGATGAGATGATTTCTTGCGTCGCCGCCCTCGAAGCTGCTCTCCTCCCTTGCCTCCCCGCTCGCGAGCTCCAGGCCGTCGACCGCTCCAACCACTCCTCCCACCAAAGTAAAACCCTAAATTTCCCTCTTTTTAGGTCAAAGATCGAGTCTTTATTGGAAAAAGCGATTTGGTTTAGGGCTAAAGTTCGAAAATGCGATGTTGGTTCATTAGGGTTTTTTAAATTTTTTTTAATAGTTGTGTGCGTAGCTGGAGTTTGTGTTGATTAGCTAATGTTTGCTATTGATCTAGCTGATATTTTATGGTTATATGTAAATGAAATCAGAATATATCCCTGTTTTGTATACTTAACTGCGCTGTGCATTTGTACGGATTGTGTTCCTCATGATAGTCCAGCTGAAGACCTCAAAGCCAGGGCGGCATTTTGATAGCTGCTTCAATGTAAATCTTGCAAACTCCCCCTCACTGCCTCTGCTTCCTGCTGTAGAATTTGCGCCGCTCTAGGCTTTGAGGTCATTGCTGATGTGCTAATAATTGTGACCTGCAAATTGCATGAGGATATGGAATTGTATAGTTGTGACCAAGCCAAATGCATGCTATGTGATTTGAGGATTCTATGGCAAATCGCAGTAATATTATTATTAACTGCTTGGATTGGGGGTAACGAGGGGGGTGACGGAAGTTAGGTGAACCATTAACCTTGTCTGGGATCTCATTTGAGGGGGATGATCGAGGGAAAGTTGAGTGAATTGAGGTGAGAAATCGTGCGATTTTGTTCCCCTCCAAATTGGGTTGTAATGGAGGGGAGGGGAAGGGAATCGATCAAATAATTGTCGTCCCACATGAAAAGTTTACCACCTGAAGATCAAATCCAGCCCGGCTGAGAATTGAGTTTGGAGTTACCTTCCCTTCCCTTTATGGAAGTTCCCAAACATGGTGAAGTAAGTTCCCTTCCATTCTCCATACTGAATTCCCAAACAAGATTTATGGTTTCTCTCACCTTCCCTTTTCTTCCCTTAATCCCTCTTTACTTGACTTTCCTTCTCTCGGTGTATTCCCAAATTCATCTCCAGTAATGAATGAGCATGGAGTTATTGTTCAAGATCTCAACCTTTCTATTTTTCTTCACTAGCCTTTGGCCTTTGTGTGGTTTATTTTTTTGGATGTTCAATTAATCACACATTGTAAACTATTTATCTGTAAGTCCTTTGGACACCCTCTTCTGGAAAAAGTTGAAGTTCAACCACTTTGATTATCCTTTGCATTTCCAAATTAGAGATAAATCCTTTGCGTGTCCCTTCTCAAAAAGTTGTGAAGTATCCACCACTTTGATTTATTTCACATGTAGCTGACTACCGATAAGATCTAACGGATTATCTTGCTGAAAATTTTGTGGGAGCTTTGTGGTCATGGTTAGTTTTACTCACTATTGCGGACTGTTTCAATCGTTGCATGTCATGTTAATGAACAGACTATAATTTACAACATCACAGATGCGGACATAAGTTGCTGGTTTAACAATGAGAGGGATAGGGGTGAATTACCTTTAAAACCGTTGTATGCTATCAATCACTTAGGAATGCATAAGGTTTTTGGCGCAACTACAGGCAAATTGTGTCTGAAGCAAATACTAAGTACTGTATGAAGCATTTCATTTATCTTCCGGTTTTTTTTTCTAATAAGGATGTAAGAAACCATTAAACCGTTTAATTGCTCTCAGTTGATGTAGAAAGGCACGCGAGAGATTTTATGGAGGCCTCAAAGAAGCTGCAGCTGTATTTCATAGGGCTGCAACATGAGGATCAACCAACCAAGGAAGAAATGGTCCGAAAGGTACTGCAAGCAACATCTTTCTTATAACTTTTGAAATCAGAGAGGGACATTTTATGTTTATTGAATAGAACGAAGCCCGAGATATTTGTTTACAATTACAATAGGGGTCAGAGTAATATCTAAGGGCTTGTTTGGATTGAGGGGAATAAGGGTGGAAGGGAAGTTAGGGGAACCATTCACCTCCATTCACATTGTTTGGGAACATTTAGGAGGTGAAGTTATTCACCCTAGTTCCCCTTGGTTCACCCCCTAATAGTATAGGTGAAGTTATTCACCCTAGTTCCCCTTGGTTCACCCCCTAATAGTATAAAATTTGTTACCCCCCAAATTAGGGTGTACTTGGTTCACCCCCTAATAGTATAAAATTTGTTACCCCCCAAATTAGGGTGTAACCAAGGGGAAGGGAACGCCCTTCCCTTCCCTTCTATTCTCTCACCTAGTTTCCCTTAACTTTCCCTTCACCCCTTACAAATCCAAACAGGCTCTAAGGTAACACTAGTAATGTGCTGCTCGCCATGAACATCTAAACATGTTGCTCAATACGAGCTAGACAAGTAAGGTAGCTAATCAGCACCACATAATTTCCAAATGTTCTGAATCTTCATGACTATAACTAATAACAGTAATGTTAACCAATAGTTCTTTAACATTGCCGCCCTTATCATTGTAATTTTTTCCCCCTCATCAGGAGATCTCGGTCATGGAGGAAGAGCTGAAGACCAAATCTGAGTTGATCGATAAACATGAAAAACTTATTCTCGGGTGGAGGAAAGAGCTGAAAGATCAGTTGGATAAGCATATTGTAGAATTGGAGAGGGTGTGATAATGTGCCTTTTTTAAAGTTCTGCTACACTTTGTACCGCATGGGGGTTAACTTCTGTAGATTGTTGCTTTCGTTCGGATGTAATGCAAATTTGGTGCCGACGGGTTACAGCTTTGTCATGTCTTGGCGTGATAAAGAATGAAAGTTGAGGCTGTCGAAAGTATCTTGCGCAGATGGAGCTACGAACTCATCGTCGACCAATGTGAAATTACAAACATTCTAGGATTGTGTTCCTTCCTCTTTGTTGTCGATTATTCTGCAATATTAGTTTGTGTCGAAAGCCCTAATACACGTTTACCCCACTGAAACATACTGGATTTCTCTTTGATTCATGTATCTAAGCAAACTAAAGTTTTAATCTCTTTAGAGCATTCTGATGTAACCAGGAAAATGTTGAGCAAAAATACAAGCAGAGACGCAGCAATGGAGGTCTTTGGAGCGCGCGCTCTCCCCAGCCCCCCACAGCCAAAATTTAGAAGCGCTTTATACTCCTTTTTATCTACTAAAATTTAGAAGCGCTTTATGAGCTATAGAGAGCTTAAAACCATTATTCTCATATCCATATAAATACAGGAAGCAGCCGAACTGACAAAGAATTGACAAATCTAATACAAGCAGAGAAGCTGCCTGAAGTCAAAAATTACCATCACCCAACTAAAACTATCCAGAAAATAACGATATCAAATATAACAACCGGGAGTTAGTTAATCACAATAAATAAACAACATACACACATTAATTAAAAGAAGATGAACGCTACAAAAGATTCAACTCACATCTTTAAGCCTTTTTATCAAAGCATCCAAAGATTTCTTCTTCGGATTCGGCTTTGCTCCCCTCGTACCAAAAGTCCCAAACAGTCGATCCGATGAATCCCTAAACTTCTCGGATATAGACACTACCTTCTTGTAATCAAGCTTGTTATAACTCCTCTCTCTAATAACTGGATTCAAGAAATTCTCTGGGTGATTGCTCATCAGCAAATTAACCAATTGCCTCGCCTCTATCAATGCCATCTTTAGCTCACTATCATCTGGTTCGCCAAATATCTGAGATTGGTCTTCGGCAAAAGATTCAAACAGCTTGAGATCGGTATCAATTCCTATTACTGCGTTGCCATTGAACCTCTTTAAGGAATCACTGAGAAACATGCCGACAATTTTATCTGATATGTGAGAGAGAATGCCACGAACAATGCGTACGAGGACTTGGACTGGGAGTATTTGCTGAGCGGTGGAAACTAGGGTTTCGAGGTATATAAGAACCTCGTTGGAGTACTCGTTGCCACTCTGAGGTGGGTCGTCGGCCATCCAGTTGATGGAGTCGGTTAGTAGCATGAAATCATCGATCTTGTTTCTTAGCAAGCTTATTAGTAGTTCTTCAACGGCGTCACGAGATTTTTTTAGTGGGAAGTCTCTACGACTCCTCTCAGCTATTCGAAGTGGGATTCCAGAAAGTTGGGCAGCATGGCGGAAGAAGAAGTCGCAAGCTCTCTCGAAGACTACCATGTTGGCTGCAACCTGTGTTTTTATAAATATTATCTTGTGAAGATCAAACTTTGGAGGAATAAATATTTGTTTGTATGAAATTGTCTAAGGATGGGAACCAGGATGAAAAATAAACTACACGGTAGAAGAGTGGAGAGATGTAAAATTAATATCACGAAGAGATGTAAAATTAATATCACGAACTACTGCACGAAAACATAAGAGTTACCATGTAGGCAAATCATTGCAGTCCATGATAAGTTAATAAATGACAGCAATAATTAATCAATTAACTAGAAAAAAATGGTGAACTCCTAGTGTTAATTCATCAAATATGATGGAAAAGTTTTTGAAACATAAGCAGGAGTTGGTTGATGAACATGTTCATGGTACATTTTAGCATTTTCTCAAAAGGAAATTTATCAAATATCTATCAAACTGACAATGAGGTGCAATGTTCAAGAATTTCAGCTATGAAGAATATATGCTAAAGCTGCAGCTACAGAGTTATAACATAGCCAATTTGATCATGCCAGAACCAGTTTGAGCTCAAAATTGAAGTTATTTGATCCATCTGAAGCTTAATTTGGCAATTTTATGGCCAGTAGCTCTGAGCCTAGATCCCAATTTGAAGCTTATCTTGTTTGATATTTGACATTCCAATGGACAAAAGCTGTTTTAGAACCCATTTGATTAGAATTTTCCGTGCAAAACGTATTCATAACATCTCTTCCCTTTGCACAACCATAAATATCAAACATGTCAGGGTAAATGTAATTATGTAAATAAACAAGAAAGATGGCATTCATTAACTCTGGGCTTGTTACTATCTTAAAACTTATTTAAGTGTACAGTATATTAGTTTTTTGTTGCATTCAAGACTAATTCATGTTCGAGCTCAGCTTCATTAATTTTCAACCTAGGCTAGAAGTTTAAGCTCAATTGACCATAAGATGCATTCAGGACTTCACACTCATTTATTTATTGGACCGTTCTCGCATTATTTACACCCACATTTCAAAATGTTCATATAACACAAGAAGCTTGGATGTTCATCTACAGACACAACCAATATTGGTCACAGTTGAACTTAACATGCATTCAGATGCTCATTTATTTATTGGATTCATTTCAAATATTGGCACCCGATTCAAAATGTTTATTGAACATATGAAGCTTGGATGTCCGTCTATAGACACAATCATGAACAAAAAACATGTGCGCGTGCGCTTGGGCTGGCGCGCGTGGTGGTGTCGGTCAGGTGTGTGTGGTGTGATGGAGAAGCGGGGGTGGGGTGTTCAAAGGGGAAGAAATCTCAGGCTCTGGCTAACCATTGGCATCACTCTAATTCACATTATTCTGATGGTGGGTTGGGGCAGGTATTGGTAACGATGGATTAGGGTTTGTGTTTTCAACACAATATAAGAAGGGTAACTAGGGATAAAGCTAGAAGGCGTGGATATAAAAAACATGACATGCAAGGGCAATATATTCCGGAAAAGGTACTTAAAAAAAGATGCGTTAAGAGGTGGCTGGTGCATCAGGTGTCTGACTGGATTAGGCTTCAAAATAGAACTGCTGTGCTTCAAAAGAATAAAAGCTTTTATTTTGAAGTCAAGTTGGGAATTCTACATGTACTGGATTAACAGATCTGTCCATCAATGACCCATTAAAACAACTCTAGATTCCACCTGGCAAATAGGATTAGGTAGATTTCCGCACAAATGATTGGTTACAATCAAATAATATAAACAAGTTCATGGATCTACAATATCAATATCATAGGTCATGCAAGCGAAAGAAGTGTATCATCCCTCATGATCCAACCACTATTTATTTACCCCTTTTGACATCCTTTTTTATTGCATTATTTGGATCTGTTCATGCCCACAAAACGCTAGTAGTCGATCAACTCAATCCTCAGATCTTGAATGAGGACCAGTTGAGATCCAGGGTGGCTGAATCTGGCTTGGGTTTTTTGTATGATTCAATTTGAGTTGGGTCCGAATCCGAAGTCCAATAAAAACTTCCTAGAATAAGGAACATAAATATATTCTAACTAGTAAACAAGAGAATTTCTTTCTTTTTTCCTAGTTTTGTAAGAGTGAAGAATCCAAACCTTGGTATGAAAATACTGAATTATAAGCGGAAACACAAAGAAACCCTCGATTAAGAGACTTTTGCAGTTGTAGTTATCATTTTTCTCATGGGAAGAAGCATATCGAGTGCTAGATATACTCAATGAAGTAAAGGAATTAATTAATACACGAAATTTCATGTGGTGTACCAAGTAAAATGTACTATCAAGCCCAATTACACTGAAGTTCTTGTGCAATTACTTAATAACTAGATTTAAGTCATAAACATGGCTTAATGCAGTGAATGAATAGCTCCTTCAATTTGTCATCCTTATTTTCCATCATGCTTTGATTTGCCGACATGAGTATTGTATCCTGGCAGTGACATGGGCCAGATTCGAAGTAAGGACAGATAGTACCTTTTGTTGTATAAATATATTTAATTGTATAAATATATTTAACACATGGTTTCAAATAAGCACAACCATAATTGTGCAGGGAAGAAGCTTAATGAGAAAAGGAATGCATATAAACTTTGTACATAATGCCTTTTTCAGTGACTAACATCATATTATGACATAATTTACAAGGAAACAAAAGCATGTGATGCCTAAATAGCTACCAAATTTGTTGGTGGACAGATACCAAGACGTGATGGACATACGTTTCGCCTCCTAGAGAAATAGATAGACAAATGTTTAGAAGGAAAAAAAAGTATAATACTGTAACTGATATACAAAAGTCTGCTTTGTGGTTGTCATTTGGTATACGATAAAGATACAATACTTAAAGCATACTTGTAAAAAAAATCATAAAGAAAAATGTGAAGGCAAACAATTCGGATATGCATATCTTCAAGTGTTATACACAAAGTAATAAAAAATACATACAAAAGCGTCGTAGATAAACTAAAAAGGTGTGTAAATTTCACAAAACTTGTGCACGAGCTATTGTTTAGGAGTTTTACAGGGAATTACCATAAACTATTTTTAGTTTATGTGTTAACTTTTACTAATGGCAGCTATAGTTTAGTGAAATTTACCTGCATTGCCTGGGAAACACCAAGGGACTGTGACTTGACAAGTCGCACAAGAGAACTATCAAGCGCCTCAACGAGCAACCTATCAAGATATTTCTTAACAACAGCATAGAAATCAAGCTGCCCTCCATACGACATGAAACTAACCGAATCTTCAATGAACGACCTCACGATCCGACAACAATCCGGAACCGTAGATGAGAATGGCGCAACAAAAGGAAACGCCGGAACAATATCAGAAGTCTGTATCTGAAACGAGAGCACATTCATCGAATACTCATACTCCTTCTTCATCAACATCTGCTCAAACTTATCAGCAGCCAAAGCTTCCGAGATCTGCTTCCTACAATCGTTAAGCAACAAATCGTGATACTTATCCCGATGTTTGCTCAGCACATCAAGCAATGGATCTACTGCATATCCATATCTCCTCAATGTCACTCCCAAAAGAGACACATAATCCTTGATCAACAACAAATGGCTCGCAGTCATCATTCTCGAGAACTGATCCTCAAGAACCGACACCATTTTGGCCACCGCAGTCTCCCAGAGAGACTCCACATCTGCCCTAGTCACCAATCCCCCTCCAGTTCTCAAAATTCGATCCTCCACGATGAAAAACCCTGCGATCTGAGCAAAGAAAGTCTGATGCGACTCGAGAAACGGAGTCATGGACGACACCTGGAAGTCTGAGGTCAGCTGCAGCTTCCTGTTCTCAAAATAGTACTTCTTGAACCTCTCCTTCAACCCTAACGTCTGATGGATGTGATAAGCTCGATACAACGGCGTAAGATCAAACCCTAGGATCGAAGAGTTCACCTCATCGGCCCCATCATCATCATCCTCATCCAAAGCATAGATCAAATCCCTGGAGCTCAGCCTCGACTGCTCCTTCCGCCTGCCGCTGCTTCAGATGCCTCAGATCCTCCTCCCTGCTGCCGTCGCCGCCGAACCCGTGCCCGTCCGATCGCGATCTGCCCTAGATTCCTGCTCGCCACTCGGATCTGCCGCCATCCAGTCGTTAAAAACTCGACGCCAATCTTCTTCCTCCAGCAGAAAGACCTAACGAGGGATATGCCACGTGCAGCATCCGCCGATCGTCGGCCAGCGGCAACTGATCTTTGACCACGGCCTCGCTCGATCTGATCCAGACGTCCTCCAGGCCAGATACAGCGCGTCCTCAATTTTTTCGAGATTCTTGTTAGCGCGCGAAGCAGAGGGCCGCAGCACCTTCACGCCACATGCAGCGCCGCCGCGCGTGCGCCGCTGCAGTGTTCACCGAGACCGCCGACGCCCTCGAGGTACGAGTCGGACGCCCTGCCTAAGGAGGCGGGGCCGGCCGGGCGGACTGGAGAGGTGGAGTTGGAGTCGGGAGATCGAGCTTTTTAGGGGTTTCGCGGCTCGGAGAGGAGGGAGCGGAGGTCGTCGACGGCGCGAAATGAAGTCGCTGGTTAGTGAGCTTTTGCAATGACGACTGCGTCTCGGACTCCTCCTTGGATCGGGCGAAGAGGCGGAGGTTGTGAGGATAAGGGTGCCTCGGGCTTGAGCTGGGCGGAAGGCGCGCGGGACGAAGGGGAGAGGTCGTCGCCGGTTGGAGATGGCGGCGGAGAGGAGGCAGGAGATCTTGGTTCTGCTGAGTGCGGTTTCGGGTTGCGTGGGTTTCGTGGAGCGCATTTTTTGGGGGCGGGTTTGGATCCGATAAGAGAGGGGTAAGAGGGGATCTAGGCGGAAGAGAGGAGGACGGGAGGAGTTAATTACGGGAGAGGGAGTTCGCTTAGATTTTAGTTTTTCCCGGGTAATAATTTTTAGTTAAGGTGGTATTTCGATATTAGTCCTTCAAAGGATTTCAACCTTTAAATCTCCTAACCATCAAATTCGCTACAGGGCCCTATGTCATATAAGTTGTTTGAAATTAGTCCCATGCCCAGCATCTGTAATCTGTATGCAATATTGGAGGGAACATTTCTTTAACTTCCCGGGGTTAGTGGGCGCAATATGATTTGGCGAGACGAGGATTTTAGCATTGATCTTGAGAGCAATGGAGTTATAATAAAAGATAAAAGCGAGAGTTGAGAGAGAGAAAATTGACATTTGGGGGGAGTGTGTCTAAGATTAAATGATTTGGGGGACTTCATAACAATTTCAATGATTTGAGGGACTAAAATAAAATTTTGGGAGACTAATATCTAAATAACTCTTTAGTTAACAAATTAATATTTTTTTTGAAGTTTTGGGTTTAGGTGCAATTGTGCAAGGTTATAACTTACAACGAACTCCTAGATTGAAGCGAGTTGGTCGGGTGGGTAGCCTGAGTTGGTAACTGACCCAGGCTCTGAAGTGGGGGCCATCCAGTGTGCTGTCCAGGCTTCCAGCCCAAGGGCCTTGATAAATTAGGTCCTGTTGGGCCAAGAGCAAATAGGTGATTTTTATGGCCTTCGCTTCCCATGATACTTCTGTTTTCTCATCGAGAACACAGATACAGCAGCCAGTTCAAGAGAAATGCATTCAGTGTGTAGGATCCATGTACCTGGTTACCAGTTCAAGAGAATAAGATCAACATCAGTTACTGACCACCAAATTGAATAGAGATGCAAAGAAACTAATCTAACTCAATTTCCATAACAATCACATAACAGCTAAGCCCAACTTCTATATGAACTAGTCCAACATCTATAAGCTCTACACGTGCAAATAACCTCAATCCCCACTATGTAACAGTATATAAAAAAAAGATTATTCTGCTACCATATCATCCAAAGGTCTTTCTCCACATATTATGTACATATATACACATGTACACCAGCCAGCGGACCCCGTATACATCAGTTAAACATGGTTCTCAGCCCTGAGATGAGAATAACAATCATCACTAGTATTAAACCCACCCAAGCAAACCCAGCAAATATGCTTCCCACATCTGCACTCGATATGATTGCACCCTTCAACCTTCTCTATAGTATGCCCACAAGCTGGGCAATCCCTCACATGCATTTTCCCCTTTCTCCATTCCATCAAAGACTTATCTGGCTCATCCTTAAACTCCTTGTATCGCTCACAAGAAATAAAAGGATGATACTCCAAGTGACACCGAGTGCAAGTCTCAGCCGAGCAAGCTCCACATACAAATAGAGCATCAGGTTGTTCATCCTCGTCGGCGACTTGGTATATAGATGGACAGTCAGGAGAGGGGCAAAATCGATAACGCCCGTTACTTGAGGCGACAAAGGCCCCCAGTGAGGCCCGAAAGAGATCTTCTAATTTATTGGTTGGTAGCAAGGATTTGAGATCGACAAGCAGGAAAGGCTCATTGCAATTAGCCTTAGTGCAGCGAAGAGGGAAGCCTTCACGTGAGCGAGCAAGAGATTCACACTGGTCTACAAGGCACGAGTGACAGAAGGCATGACCGCAACTTTCGAGCTTATAAGGCTCGTCAATCTCACATAAACAAATCGGGCATTCTGAAGATAGAGATGATAGCAATGCATCAGGTGGAGATGAAACTCCAAGAGATGGAGCTACTTCTGAGACAATCTCTTCAATCCTCTGCTTCAGTTCCTTGCTCCCTCTCACATAAAGAATGTGGCGGCGAGTGTTGAGGCTTAGTTCCACTCCGGGAGCTTTCTCTTTGAGACGCATGAGATCTGCACCAAACCTCTGGACTATATTTTTCATAAGATTTGTGGGAAGGTTATGGCCTCGAAGGCGAATCTCCAGAGGTTTGTTTTCGTGATGTGCTAGCAGTGATTTGACCAGTGTGCCCTCTGCATTGGTGATTGAGCTCGGTGAGCCAAAGATTCTAACATTGAGATTCTGACGGTCATACAGGATGTAGGTACTGGTGTCTCGTTCTATTGATCGGAGCAGTTCGATGCCTTCACGGGTGACGAGGAAAAGGAGAACAGTAGGGGTCAAACCAGGATGGGTTACAATCTTGCCTCTCGTTAGTTGTTCAAGAGGTTTCCTCATATCTGCAACAGTTTTTGTAGCATTGGCAGAGATCTTCACCCTGTAGGTATTAGTGGGGGTCTTCTCCACCGTACAGATCACACCTGAATTAAGTAAGATAAATGATATAAGAAAATATGTAAATAGATCTACTAATCAAACATTAGGTTTAAAGAATACTGAAGAGGCTTTAAAACCAAGTTCCTTGGATAACTCAACTCCATCTTATTTATCAGTAATGAACTAAATTGAAGGAAGAGAAAAAGAAAAAGGGAAAAAAAGTAACAGAGCTACAAGATTCATGCTTTTGGTGGTTCTAAGGGAAATATCATGAGAACTATTTTCCTAAGTTTAGGCTTAGACTTCAATAAATTAAGAAAGGAAAGATTATTGAAAAATTGGAGAGGCTAGTTAGCGGCACGCTATGCACAAAACCAAGCAAGCATGGAAATCAGTTCATGAAATTTTCTTCCAATTAGAATACGAAGAGGACATCAGTCTGCCACCTCTTTCCCCCCAACCAAAAACTTGCTCCAGCTCCATGAAACCCTAGGAAGAGCATTAACAAAATTCAACGGCAACTACCAACCTCATGTCAGCCCTCTGGTCAATGACGCGGGAGAGGGGGGGGGGGGCTGGGGGGGTGGCCATGGCCGCCCCTAGATGTTTGGTAAAAAGTGAAGAGAAAATAGTAGTAGTATAGGGTTTGGACCTTGTGATTGTGGGCTAATAAGGCTTGAAATGGGTTTGTTAACAATTATATCTACAAAATCCAAGACCCAACTTCAAATATCCACACCAAATCCATTCTGTTTTCCACACATAAAAAAATATCAGATCATAATATCTTTTGTAATCTATTCTCTTTGCCGATTTAATTTTTTTTCTTTCACAAAACTTTTTTTCGCGATTCTTTTTGGTCACAAACGCTTCATGATTTGACCTCTCTATTCTTCGTCCTCCCTCTATTCACTCCACCGCAGAGGAACACACAACAGTCAACCACCTCTTTGACTTCGTCTCAGGGTGAAAATTGTCATCTTTTTTATGTTTTCTCTCGTAATATAGATTAATTTGTTTTGTTAAATCTTTAAATTGCTTCTGGACCTATGGTTTAGGGTAAAAGATATAATTTTAGAGATTAATAATTGAGATTAGATTAAAATTAGAATATTTTCTTTGGGTTATTGCTTCTTTTTTATTATGATTTGAAATAAATTTCAATGATATAAACATAATTTGTACTTTGCGGTTAACTGTCATGATTGCAAAAGGATAAAACCTTATAGTTGGTGGTTACAGGAAAACAACTATAACTGATTAATATTTGAAAATCTCTTGAACAACCCGTACAAAGTGAACAACATCTTACACCAAATCCAAAAACTCCAGCTTTTAGTTGAATATGAAATATGATGATATATATTTTGGCCCCCCAAGAAAGAAAAATTCCTAGGTCCGTCACTGCCTCTGGTAATAATAATAATAATAATAAACTCATGTTGAACCAACAATAACCAAGAAAGAAGCTTACAGGGCAGATCAGCCCAAGATTGAAGAGAGCTTTCCAAGAGAAAAGGCCAAGTTTGGAGAGAGGGATAAGAGGTTTTAACCCAATGCAACCAGCAAGCAAGTTTCATGGACTTATAATAAAAAATAGGGATAAAGATCTGGCATGGCCAAAGCATGGCACCGATCAGGGGTGCCTACGTGCAGTATGTTCTTAAACAGGCACAAAAAAAGCTTCTCATATAATAGGAAAAAGTATAGTGTTTGCAATACGTAAACAAAAAAAAAAGTGTTTGCACTCATATTATAGTTTCAATAATGCATCCTAGCTGACCCAGCTGAATTGAAGACAACATACAGAACATAGCTACAATAAGTAATGCTCGCTGTTATAATATTTTGTAGACATCCGTAAAAGAAAAAGCGTCCCATGCATTTTCATTTTAACTTCTAAAATGCTCTCTCTCTCTCTCTCTCTCTCCATTGCTGAAATCTATAGTCGTTTCTCTATGTAACATTTAATGTAAACATATTGGATCACATGGGGGATCTAGAATGAATGTAGGAGGATGTGATTATCATTGGAATTTGATATCACTCAAATCTTTGGCTTTTTTTGCAACTTACGATGAAGATATTTCACAATTGCAGATCTTATCATCTATAGTGATGCGGAAAGTAAGATAAACAGTAAAGCAGGAGGCCCAGCTAAGAGTTTACGATCATTGGTGGCAGAAAACATGATAGATATCTTAAAATTACAAAGGTTAAAATAGATAAAAAATTGGATAAAAAGATCTCAGCACAGGCAAGATGTGGTATGATGATTTTTATGAGTGTCAAAGCTTATATGTAGATATTCAAAAAAGCAAGAGCACATTCAACCATCTTAAGGATAATATAATAAAACATAATCATAGAGGCAAAGGGACAACTTCAAAGACTTAATAGCTATGAACTTCTAAATTTTGATTAATTGTTCAATATGATAGTTTCTAGTTCACACAAGAACCAAGAAATGAAAATTATATGAGGATTAAAATGCATAAGAAACATGTTATGTGCAGAATAAGAACACACAAATATCAAAGAAAAGAAGAAATTTAATAATGGAAAATTGATAGAGTTTTTTTTTGGGGTGTCAGGAAGGGAGAAAAAGATGATAGACGAAGTTGAAGACGATTTATGTTCGAAGTAAATACACTCGAAATCTAAAGACAACAAACATGTCAGCATGCTATTTGAATCAGCAATGGAAATCTACGTAGCATAGACTCTTGTGAAGTCAAGCCAATCAAACACGTATATTGCCACAATAGTTCTGTGCATGTGCTTTCTAGAATTTCCATGTGCCAGTGTTGTATCATCATTGGCATGCCAAAACACCATGCAACATAGATAAATACCAACACAAGAAAATGAAGAAACTCTGCAAATGCTGGAACAGTTTATATCAACAGTATATAGAAATAATAAAAAGATGAATCTTTTTAAGATAGCTTTTGTATGAGAATGTTTTAATGAGAAATATGGTGGATACCCTTTGACTGCGGATATTATAGAGAAGTAAGACCCTCTAACAAAATTTGGATTGTATAGTATGAATTCTCATGCAAGATGTGAACCAGAGATTTGGTTTTGCCACTAAAAAGGAGGTTGATGGAAGGGCAAAGCAGGCTTCAAGTCCCAAAAAGCAGTCTAGTAACTCTACACTACAGTTTTTGGCTGAAGCTAAACACACTAAATAAGGTAGGCCTTCCTATCTGTCAAATTATCTTTGAAAAGGTTTTCTGACCGCACGGTTTTCCTGACAAGGAATCCAGAGCCAGGTTAGTTATCAAGAGCAGACAGGAGGAAGCAGAAGGGGAAATTTGGTTCATTTTCCTAGTAGAAAATAATGGCGTGAGGAGCTGTGTATCTAAATGGGGAATGAAGTATAATAATGAGTATTAAAACATCTTATTATTCGATTTAGGATCACCAAAATAATTTAATGAAAAAAAGATTTTAAGTGATATTTTCTCCTTTTGTTGTTAAATCAAACAATAAATTTGTGTGGAATGGCTACCCGCTCCTGCACAGAATCACATGTTCTTAAAAGCATCAATATTAAAGAAAAGACATAGCCAAACACCACTATACCCATTTGTACAGGTCTGGCTCAATAAAGAGTTAAACGATAGTCTGATTAACTTTTAATAACTATTATTAATCTTCATGTGTTATATGTAATATTTTGAAAAAGATAATTTCAAAACTTTGAACATGGTTTGTTATTTATATATACTTATTGATTTTATGCTAATTAATTTTAGATTTTAGCTATATTTTATTGGTGGTTTTGTTTTAATACAACCTTGTCAACCATCACGTCTAATATTATTGGTTTAAGCATGATCATACTCCCTTTAAAAGCACGAGTTCGGAAAAATCTTTTAGTAGACAAAAATACCATTGGAATTTAAATACTAATCTATTAAGTAAGAGTAACTTGATAAATTGATAAATCCTTATTGGATATACATAGTATGAAGATAAGGATATGGTTTAAATTGAAATGTAAACCTAAATGAAAGAGCAACTCAAGTAAATTAGACGATTTATTAAATACCAAATTTATCTCATTGCTCTTATATGTGATCAATGATCAAATTGCAAACAATTATTCACGTGCTACATGATTAATAATTGCAAAGTGAGAACAATTATTCACATGATATATGATTAATAATTACACACAACGTGACGATCTCTCACCAACTAAAATTCAAGTAGTTCACAATACGCGATCTCTCACCAACTAAAATTCAAGTAGTTCACAATACGCTTAGGTTAATTAGACGATTTATTAAATACCAAATTTACCGTAGTTCACAATACGCTTAGGTTAATTAGACGATTTATTAAATACCAAATTTACCCCCTCGCTCTTATATAATGTGATCAATTTATCAAACCGTAAACAATTATTCACGTGCTACATGATTAATAATGCAAATCTGCAAACAATTATTCACATGCTATATGATTAATAATTACACACAAAGTGGCGATCTCTCACTGACTAAAATTAAAGTAGTTCAAAGTACTGCATAGTTAGTTTCAAAATTTAATTATACTATTATTATTTAAATAGAACTTTATTTATAATTGTTATCCTCTCACATGCAACATCATATACCAATATATATAAGCCAAGAAATTATAATAATTTTCATAGCACTTTTATCTCCTTCTATAGGCATGTGCCTTTGCTATTAGATTAGATTAGGTTAGATTATTTTAAAGCAATTAATTATATTGTATATCTGATCTTTTCAGATCAAGAAATTACAATAGCTTTCACAGTACTTTTATCTCCTTCAACAAGTATGTGTCTTTGTTATTTTCTTCGTATTAGAATAGATTAGATTGTTTAAGAATTATGAATTATAAAATTGCAACAATTTTCACAGTACTTTCATATATTTTCTTCTTATTAGATTAGATTAGATTATTTTAAAGTAATTAATTATATTGTATGTTTGATTTCTTTTCAGATCACAAAGTTTAATTATACTATTATTATCTAAATAGATATTGTTTGTATAAAAGTCAAAGAGAATCTCACACGTTCTTTGATCTTAATGCTAATTATAATACTTATATATGAGTTTTTATTAAAATAAATTTTATGTATGTGGTTAACTTATATGATCCTACTTTAATCAGATTAGATAATTTAACATTTGTTCTTTACACTCAAACTCTTTCGCAAAATCAAGAGATTTTTAAAATTAATCTTGGGGGTTGTTTGCATTAAAAATTATGTTAGAGGGCCCATACAGTCTGTTTTATAGTTTAAGATTGTCAACACATTTTATCTCTTATGCATATCAATTATGAGTAATAATATAATTTAATTGATCCAGGTGTATCCTAATATATTTCTGGACTCTTATCTTGTCTTTTGCTCTTTATCATGTACAAACCTAGCGATTCTTATTCAATTCCTTCTTTTTTCTTTTTTGTCTTTTGGCATCGTCTATTGTTCTTCATTATGTACAAACCCATTTTATGGATTAGGCTTATGGTTTTTGAGGGGGGAGCAGAAGACAATTAGGTTGATTTTGGTGTTGGACTTCATTATTTGAAGAGATTAATTTCAAAAAATTCAACTCCAACATAATATCACAATTGATATAGATGATGAAGACGCTACTCTAGAATTGCCCAATCAAAAGATAAAGGTGGAGAAAGATTGATCTTGACTCAATTAAAACATAAAATAAAAAGAATAAATGATAATATTTTTTGAATATTTTATACTATAACTTAATTTTTGAGTAAAATTAGGAATTTTTAGAATGAATTTTCATGCAAAATTTTTAGTATTTTTGCATGCTTATGTGATTGCTTTTATCACATAAAATTATATTGTAGTTACCATTAATATTTAGTTTTGTCTTTTTATTATTTTAAGTCTATCAAATAATGTAGGCTGAGATCTCATATATATATATATATATATATATATAGAGAGAGAGAGAGAGAGAGAGAAACTTATGTCAACTTAAGTGGACGTCCACTAAGTTTTTTAGTCATTGATGATCATTTGATTGAGCTACATTATAGATGATCCGCTCCATTGAACTTGATCTACATATTTTAAAACTCCAACACACCAAATTTGGGGTGAACCCGTTGTGGTTCGTATGCTTTTGAGATTGTTTATTATAAAGCATGAGCTTATAATATTGAAAAGTACAGTGTAATTCTATTTTCAATGCAATAAGAAATGTTATTTTTTATTGCTAGAACTATAGTTCATAATGATATTGTTATTCATCCTTAGCTCCATACTATAGCTTAGTATTAGTATAGTTTAGAATATGACATATAGCATCAATTTAATTTATTTTCTTTTACTATTCTGCTTGAAGATATTATTATGTCAGCTGATATTTTTTTCTGCGGAAATCAATTATGATATCTCAGTTAAGTATATTGATCCCAGTTTAGCACAAAAATCCATTACATTAATTTTTTATAATTTTTAAATAAAAATTATAACAAATCTAATAATTAAAATGAATCTAACTTATTTATAGTAATAAAATAAGAAATAAATTATTTTGATATTAAACCACGTGCAATGCGCGTGCATAAAAACTAGTGAGAAAAAAAGCACTTCATCAAATACACATTTTGCTGCTTGAGTTGAAACTTTCTTAAAAAAAGATGAGAAAACCCCTATTTTTTTATAACATCTCCCTATGCGTGTTTTGAACATGTATTGACATTTTAATGCTTTCTTCAAAGCAAAATTTTAATATATTGCATATTAATGATATTATTTTATTTTTGATAATCTTAGTATTTTCATTGTGATTCTCATTTTTGTTAGTAAACCATTTTACCCATCAAGGCTTAACCAAAGTAAACTAACATGTAGATCAGTATATGAAATGTTCCCCTACCAACTTTCTCCTCTGTACTTGGAGAGCTGGGAGGGAGTCACCATTTTTAATAATTACTCTTATTCTATTACTATGCCAATCAGATAGTATCAACTATCAAGTGATGTTCTCTCCAGGTCAGGAGGAGATATAGTTGAGAAAGAAGTATATCTACTAGAAATAAATTGCAGGATTGAACGGAAAGAGAAATATTATAAGGTTACCATAATACTCACAATGGGACAATAGTTAAAAAATTTTAAAGGAAGCATACCTGTTATACGCTTGAAGTTCTTAAGTAAAGTATTAAGCTCCTCCCTGATAACAGCATATATACGAGCAGGGCAATAAACATAGCTATAAAACACATGTTGACACTGTATCTTCTGCCATGACTCACAGCCAGGTAATACTTTCCCTTGGAGATGCTCCAAAGCTTTTGCTGCCTCCAGATGTAGATTCCCATTAAAAGTTAGCATAGCTTTGACAGCATGATCTTTCGGTTCAGGACTAAACACTTCAATCTGGAAAAGTTGATTTGTGCAATGCCTGTCAGGCATGAACGGAGCAATTTCTCTTCTAAGTGCTTCAGCACAAGTTGCTTCTGGGGCACCTGTGACTGCCTCATATTTCAACAGTTTAACTCCGAGAATTCTCCTAGTCGACGAGCTTACAAATTCCTCATATATTTCTGATTCTGATACATCTTTTGGAATCCCTGCTACAAACACACAACCTCTGAATTTGCCAACCTCAACACTCAAAGATTTTCCCCCAGTTGCCAAGGCACGACATTCATTAACAATGATTTCAGCATCCTCCTCTGCACATAGGACATATGCAAGTCCCCTACTGCGTCTACGTGGCCAGCAAACTTTGGCTCTTACTGCAGAGCATGGTAATGTTTTGTGATTCCCTGCTCTCATTGGAAGTACCTTCAACAAGGAGCCACAAAACTCAACCTCATTCAATTTAGCTGCAGCGTTCTCAGCAGATTCAGGAGTAAGGAATGTTATGTTGCCCCACTTATTTGAGCCTGTGCTTTCTGATCCTGAAGGTTTGGAAAAGCAAGCTACTCCAGGAGCGTATCGTTCAACCAGCATCAAAAGTTTCTTGTCATTTAAATCAGATGCAGTTGGATGAAATATTTCCACAGTAAGATACCTTTTCTTGAGTTCCAAATGCTTAATTCCAGCACCAAGACCAAATAAAGCCACCGTCGGAGGAGTTCTATGCCCACTATGGAATAAGTTTTTTTCAATGCACTCATCTCTCAACCATCTTTTTTCACTCTCCAGGTAATCAGTAACAATGGCTGAAACCTTCTCCATATCCTTTGCAGTAGCAAATATCTGAATTTCACTTCTACCGATGTCAACATTGATACTGATATTGTCATCTCTGCATTCTTCTTTAACATGTGAAATAATACTTCGTAGGTTGGAATTAGATTTGCCACAAAACCTCTTCAAAAGATTATTGCCAACTACAGCCATCACTTTCGAACTCATCTTCCGCTTCTCCAACTGTGTGACATCAAATAAAGGATGCTCAATATTTAACAAGTCTTTATAGTCCACAGAATTTACACAAACCAGATATTTATTGTCAACTGATAGAACTTCACCAAAAACCACCCAATCTGGCTTCTGTCCGTATACTAGCAATGAGCAGGAAGGATGAAGTTGCAGTCGTTGCCCGGATAAAGCCACTTCATAACCAAGCTGCTCAGACCCTGAGAACATGGCAACATTCTCCACAAGAGATGAGAGTACAATTTTCTTCAACAATCTGTCATATTCAGTAGGTCTATTAGGATGCCAACACCAGTAAGAGGGAATGATAGCGTTGAGTTCACAACGCAGACATTTTTCCAACTCCATGACAGTGTCCTGACATCTTCTCATAGATATCGCATTGATGCTATTCTGCCAACACCACTTGCTTCTACTTTCTTGCACTTCCTCCCATTCCTTGTAAACTGAGAGAAGGGTGAAAAGGTCGCCATCACGATGGCAGAATGGCAGCTTACGGCAGTCTGCTTTATGCTTATCATTCTCACTGCCAACTCTACAGAATATACTGCTAGAGTTTGCCATAACAGCAGCAAGCACGAGCCCTTCTTTTTTAAGGCCACAGCCAAAACAATCGAGAATAATCTTCCCAAGACGTGGTTCAATGTCCAACTTGACCAACCGAGAACCAGTAGAGGTAATTTCAAAAATATCATTTTTCATCACAATAGCACCTAGCTGTGCCAGGTTCTGCAAAGCCTTTTGAAGTGCTTTAGGTTCGGGAGCATCAACAAAATCAAAGTCTTGAACGTTATTTATCCCGAGAGAAAGAATCCTCAGAACAGCAATTCCAAGATGCACTTTACGAATTTCAGGCTCTTGATGCATGCTCATAGATAGGAAATCACATTCAGAGTACAACCTATAGCACTTGCCCGGACCTGTTCGACCTGCTCGGCCTGTTCGTTGATTGGCAGAACTTTGGCTGATCCTGCCAACCTTGAGTACATTCATGCCAGTGGAGGGCTCAAACCTGCTATCCTTAACCATGCCAGAATCAACCACATACCTAACATCTTGAATAGTGAGAGAAGTCTCTGCCACATTTGTGGCGAATATAACTTTTCTTTTTCCTGGGTAACTTTGCATGACTCGATTCTGATCTTCATGAGAAAGTTTCCCATGCATCGGTAAGACAACCGCTGAGGGATCACTGAAAGTCTCACAAGCCCATTCTACCTCCATTTGAGAGGTCAAAAAAGCGAGAATTGCACCACCTTCTTCAGTTTTATGAATCACGGTCACCATCATTATAACATCAGACACATATGAAGCGCACTTATCAGGTAATAGCTTAGGAACTCTAGACCAAGAAGCCTTCACAGATACATTAGGAACATATTCGATGCTGACGGGGAAGTTCCTCCCCTTCACATATATGGAAGGACAACCATAAAAATAATCTGCAAGCTTGCTTGCATTAGCGGTAGCAGACATTATTATAACCCTTAAATCACTCTGGCGCAATTCTTTCTTAATTAATGCCAACAAAAGATCAGTGTTCAAGCTTCTTTCATGAGCTTCATCTATGATGATATAAGAAATCCCTTTAAAACTCCTTTTCCCCATGTAATGTTGCAAGAGACAGTGATCCGTCATAAATACAATCCTTGACTTGAATTCTGGAGAAGATGAATATGAAGGACAAGAAACAATAAAGTTGTCATCATCATAGCATCCAATACATTCCTCTACAACTCTTTGTGCTACAGAAATGGCAGCAATTTTGCGAGGCTGCGTGCAAACTACTGATTCAGTAGAAGCTAAGCCAGAATCAGCAATGTACTGCACCAATTGTGTGCTCTTCCCGGAACCAGTATTCCCAATCACAACAGTAACCTGAGAGAAAGGAAGTTGACAATGTACATCAAATATTTGCATTTCAGTTGTCAAAAACACACCTTTATTGTTATACCTGATTGAAAAACATGGTTTGCAGTAGCTCCCTGCGGCAAGAATAGATGGGAAGTCCATCAGTAAGCCTCCGGCACTCCCTCACCACTATCGAGTGAATCCTGACCAAGCATCTCAAGTCCATATCCCTTCCAAACTTGAACAAATCAAACTCCCCGGTTTCCGAAACCCCATCTTTTCCCTCCTTAAGGTAACTCAAAATACTCTCCATGGCAACCTTAAACTCCCCCAATTTCCCATTAATGGTGGCCAACTCCGCCTCCAACCTCTCCTTATTGTCCTTAATCTCCCTCGCAACATTGATCCTCTTCGGCCTGCTAAGCAGACTTGCCTTCCTTCTAATTCCCCTCTCGAGCTCATCAGCCCTCTCCCGACACCTGCTCACGCTCTCGCCGCCGAGAAGCGACTCGACATGCTTGATCAGAATCCCCTTCACTTCGCGCGCTCCTCGCTTGAACCGGCGGACGAAACGGCTTCGACTCCCGGCACGAGGAAGTGAGCCCGTCGAGGCGGCGGGCATAGGAAGCGCGCGTCGGGGCGTCGGAGAGGGAGGAGAAGGAGCTTGGCGACTGTTCTTTTCTCGCGAGAGGGGAAGAAGAGGGGGTCCTTTGAGGGGGGTGGGGAGGGAGGCGTGAGTGTCAATGATCGCCGGGGCGAGGGCTTCGGTCTCGAGAGTGGCGATTGAGAGAGACGAGACTGCGACGGAGGAGGCGGGCGGTGGGTGGGGGTTAGGGCGTAACGTGCGGAAGTGATGCGGGCGGTGGATGTGTAGGAGCAGAACTGGGTGTTGCAAACCCTAACCTAGTTTGGTTTCGATTGTTTTTGGGTGAGAGGGGAGAAGGGAGAAAAGCCGGGGTTTGGGGGGAGGGGGGAGGAATTTGGTGGAGGGTTTTTGTTCGGGGTAAATTACACACTAAACCCCATGAACTTCAATCACACTAAACCCCCAATATCTTTTGCAGAATACGCCGTGAACTATTAGGTAAATTACACACTAAACCCCATGAACATTCAAAACGCCTTTTATATATATTTTTAAGGGGTTCATTGCCAACAGATCCCTGTAGTATCACCCAATTACAAAGAGACTTCTTTGCTTCTGTTGTTACAAATAGAACCCCTATTGTTGCCAATAAACGTCCTGTAGTATTGGCCCAAGTGTGAATAAACCCGATTAGTGAATTTTTCGGCTCTTTTAAAATTTAAAAAGGCTAACAGTTAGATATCTATCATTACTAATAGAACTATAGGAGGTCTATCCACCTCCTCACACATTTTCAACCATTTTAAGAGTAAAAAAAAATTTCATTCAGGGGGTCTATTTGCAACAAGTAGAACCACATGGGGTCTATCTGTAACAAATAAAACTATGGGGGTCTCTTTACTATTAGGTGATATTACTCAGGGTCCGTTCACAGTCAACCCTTTTTCTAATTTATGGGGGTTGTCTATAAAATTCAGAAAGTTTATAGGGGTTTTCTGTAATTCCAAAAACTTATTGACTGTTTACTGCCGTTTTGAATAGAGGTTTAATGCAAAACACAGAATGTTCATGCGAGTTTAGGGCCCGTTTGGATGGACGTAACTATTAGAAGTAAGAAGTGGATTAAAGATGTAACTTCCTCAATTATGAAGTAAAAAGTAGCGGAAGTGGTACTTATTTTGTTTGTTTCATATATTTTTAGAAGTAGCGGAAATAGTACTTCATCATCTTCTTTTATTTATTTGTTTGTTTTGATAGAAATTGGATATATTATTTAAGATCATTTGCCCTTAGTAAATCTCTAATTTAAGTGGACCCCATTTTTTATCCACTTCCCCTCTACTTCTGAGCTTTTAAGGGCGGAAAAAAATTTAGGAAGTAAGAGTGCCACCTAGACGCCACATCTGCATTTATGGAAGTAGATGAAGTAGTCTTTTCAGAGAAATAAACATAATTTTTTGCTTGAACTAGGAGAAACTTCCTCTACTTCAGTTACTTCTTTGCTACTTTCGTGCAAACAAACAGGCCCTTAGTGTAACTAGTTGAAATGCACGTGTAATGCACGTGGTTGAATATCGTGATTATTTAAATTGATAACAATAGAGTAAAAATAAAAAAAAGGAAATAAATTTTTTTTGGGGATTGATCAACTCAATAATCTCTCTCTTAAATAAAATATTATCATTGTTTCCTTCAACCCAGATTGTGGTCACGTGATCTATTATTTGTGAGTTATAAACACATTAATCTAATACAACACCTCTATTTATTAGTATCTTGAAGTCTTCAAAAGATGGGTAATCATTCAATTCGTAAAAGAATTTTGCATATGAATTTACTTGTAATATGTCCATTAAACTTTTAGTTGTGGTTTGACTCATATTCACATTAACTTTTAGTTATTGTTTCACTCATATTTATATTATCTAATATTCTCATTCAATTTTATACCCCATTCACTGTATCATAGAAGTAAAATTGAAAGTATAAAGAATTATTTTCTTACGAATTTAGAAGAACAAGATTATGATATATTTCACTATGTGCTCTAAATATATTTTTTCTCTCTTTGATACAAGGTCCCTATCAAATCTTATCCTAAACGATGTGAAAAAAATGCTATTATAACTCACTTGCCTAGGGTAATTGTAGATACATAACTCATCTAGAATATCTACATCTGCTAAGTGGATTTTGTTGTTGTGAGAGCAACATGTTAGAGATCCGCGAGAACCATCAGTGAGGTCTGTATCTGACATGTCATGGTGGATCTTTTATTTGTACTCGAACTGCTAGATCTTGGATCTTTCCTCTCAATCTATTATTTCCTCTTAGGAAAATGATAGGGGCACACCCCCAACCACATCCCAAACCACACCCCCTCTCTCATATGCTACAGTACACCGGACCCCACATGGGATTTTAAAATTTTTAAAATCTCATGTGGGACCCGGTGCACTGTAGCATATGAGAGAGGGGGGTGTTGTTTGGGATGTGGTTGGGGGTGTGCCCCTAGTGCTACCCTTCCTCTTAATATCACTTTCCTAAACACTGTACAAATTTCGGTGATACACGCTACAACTTTGTATTCAGGGTTAACAGCTATTGACTTCCTGCCTTCAATCGTTCTGATAGGTAGTTTGTTTCTGATATGATCTAGCAGGCTTTGTCTCTTCTTAATATGTCTGGTCTTACTCCTGTTAATCGTTTAATTAGCTAAATGCAACAGACAGTAGTATTACAGAATGTATCACATCTTTGCTAAAGCATAGTGAAACTCGGTATAAGTACGCATTTAAAATTAGTACTAATTGAAGAATACACCTCCTTCACTGTAAGAGTTAGCTACTTATTACCCCTAAACTTAATTGTTAGCACTTTGACAAAGTTGTCTCCTTGTTATTATACTTGTGACCTACATTTTTTCATGCGACTGTCAATGTGTTACAAGGACTGCGAGACCTGTTGAATATACGCCCCCTATATACATGTACTGTTATTGTTGGGCATCAGAGCCAGATAGTGAAGAAAGAAGGGGGAGGAAGACCCAACCTATTTTCTCATCAGATTGTTTCTCTGTACTAGGACGGGACCAAATTAAAGCAGCGCTGGTGATCTCACCGCCAGTGAGATCCGCGAGAATTACCAACTACCTAGAACCCTACGTAGATCTGCGAGAATCACCACTAGAGAGACCAGTGGGAATCAGCAATTGTGATCCTACCAACAATTATGATTAATTCTTAAATTTTCAATTAGAGTTTTAACTAGAAATTTGATATAAGGTTGGCCAGGAAGTTCCTGAGGAGTCTGCACAGACTTTGAAGGCAAGGGACAGACCCGACTTCTTGTGAGGGGAGGAGGATGACACGTTGTGAGCGGTTCGACAGTGGTAGGCTTTATCGGATGGTTGGCTTTATCGGATGAGATCATGAGACTAAACAAAATTTATCATAGGTAATTAATTGTTAAAGTAATTGTAATTAACGCATTATTATTGAATACTTATTCTCTTCATTCCCGCTAAATTCAAATCCCTTCGGCCTCCTGCATCTCATAACCGCCTCCCCTATATGAGTTCATAAACACCTCCCTCATCCAAAACTTCTCTCTATCCCCCCCCCCCCCCCCTTCCCGCCCCCGCTAGCTCAAGCAGATCAAATAGGAGTGTACAGCCACCACTGCCTTTCACGGGCCAAGACGACTCACCACCATCGGATCACATACTTGCATGGTGTAAAAAATAAGAAACGCTCGACTTCCACGATCGCCATTCGCTGTTGTGCGCGGCGCGAAGCTTTCTAGGGCAACAGAAAATAACTAGAACTATAACCAAAACAATATGCAAACCAAATCCACAGCAAGAACACAC